AGTTAGTGCATGTCCTGAGTGTAAAAGTAAAGTTAACATCACAGATGATTATTCTAGCAGAATGGGTTTCTCCCATAAATTTATTTTAACATGTACAAATACTCAATGTCCTTTTACATACAGTAATTTTACTTCAAACATAGTTAAAAATGATAAAAAAAGGTAGAAACATGTTTAATGTTAACTTGGAAATGGTAATAGGATTCCGTGAAATTGGAAAAGGACACCAACCAATGGTTAATTTTTCACGAGTTATGAACATGTTATGTTTAACTGTAAATGCTTTTGACAATATAAGTAAAACTGTTAAAGAACTGTTAAATAAGTAAAACTGTTAAAGAAGCATACAAATTTGCTTCAGAAGAATCAATGAATGTGGCTGCTCTTACTGCTAAAATAGAGTCAAAAGAAAAACTTAACACAGGAGAAGCACTTGTCCAAGTTGCTATCAATGGTTCTTGGCAAACACGAGGCCACACTTTATTAAATAGAGTTGTTACAGCCATATGTGGAGGAAAATGTTTAGATGTACAAGTAATGAAAAAAATAATGTAATGTAATTTATCGTGTATTTAAACATTTAAATCTAGACTTGGGAAAAAATAAAATAACTAGTTCAGTAAAAAAAGACCAAAAAAGGTTACAAAATATGGTAAAAAAAGGCCAACCACAAAAAAAAAAAGAAGAAGAAAAGATTTAAGAGGAATTAAGAAAGGTTGGATTGATAAAGATCAAGATCAATCATCAAAAAATAGCTATGAAAAGGGATGTTTTTAAAACTTTTTTTACTTATTTGCAATATATCTAAAAATGAATATTTTACCATAATTTATCAACTCAAAACACGATATCTCAACATTAAAAAATGCTTAGACCTCCAAATTTTCTCCAATTGTTTAATATATATATATATATATATATATATATATATATATATATATATATATGTAGAGAATGAACTAACATCTTGATGATTGAATGAATATTTATAAGTCTTTTTTGAACCTTACCCCCCTAGAAATTAGTTAATTTTCAGTTTTTTGGGACTTAAAAGAAATATTTTTATTTTTATAAAACGATTTTAGTTCATCCACCGACTCATATATCAGAAAGTAATATTGCTAAGTACCGAGTTGTTTTAATTAGCCATTCTGGACTAATCGTGTTTTGAAAAATAAATAAAAATATGCTTTTTTTCAATAAACCTTTATATTTTATTATTATTTTCATTAAATTAAGTTTATAAAACTGATTTTAGAATTGATTTAAGTTACTTTACTGAAAAAAAATTATTTCCTGTGAACCCACCTTAAACGTTTCCTTTTTATCAAAGGAAAAAAATAAACAAATAAATAAAAAAATCATACCTCAATAGAATTATTAGCAACAAACTTGTATATAGAATATTCAACATTCATTTTAATTTTTATTAAATTAATTTTCTTAAAGTCTTTTCTTAGCTGTTTCTAAATGATAAAATACTACTTTCAATGTGTTAAGGTTCACTAGTTTTGAAAGTAATTTTTTTACAATAATGATACTTTTTTAAAAATTTTGGATATGTGAAGATTTCTTCACAAAATTTTCTAAGATTTGAAAAGTTCTTTATTGTCCATAAAAAATTGCAGTACTAATATTATGCAAAGAGAAGTTGAGTTTGTACTTGATACAAACTTAACTTCTGGGGATCATTTATATGTTTAGAATGATGCACTAGTGGCGAATTAAGACTATTTAGAGCCCGGGGTTGTTTTTTTTTTTAGAGGCTTTTTTACGGGCCAGATTCTAAAACAAATAAAAGTTCTCTAAAATTTTTGGGGGCCCCTACCCTCAGCTGTATAAGAACTCGATGAAAATAATAGACAATTTATTAATTGATCGTATTTGTTTTTATAAAGTATCTTCCAAAGGTACCTCTAGTAAGGTAAAGTTACATCTAATGTTTGATGTTTAATGAAAAAAAAATTTTTTTTCTATAACAAATAAAATAGAAAAAAAAATTTCAATAGGATTTTTTATTGAAGTCAACAGAAATTCTATAGAATTTTATAGAATTTCCATAGGCCATATGTTCCAAAAGTTTGTATAAAATTCTATAGAACTTTTTTTCGTGGATATATATATATATATATATATATATATATATATATATATATATATATATATGTATATATATATATATATATATATATATATATATATATATATATATATATATATATATATATATATATATATATATATATATATATATATATATATATATATATATATATATATATATAAATCTTTATGACTTCTTGGGTACCTTATAAAAATTAAATATGTGTATAAATTCACCATTGCATTTAAGACTATAAGACTAGTTTTTATCTAAAGAAACTGCAAATCACAAACATATAGTATTAAAGCAAGCATGTGGAAACTCACTGTCATGTTTTTAACCTAATAAGTGGAGTCTCTTGAAGTTTAACAAGTTTTTGATGAGGGGGAGAAGTAAATATTGCCAAATAATTGCTGACATAATTAATTGACAGCCCCAATGTGATTTTCTTATTTTTCAGTTTCTGCTTCAGTAAAAAAACATAAAACATTCACTTGTAAACAATTACTTAGATAAAAATTTACAAAAACAATCTTATAAACACCGGTAATAAGTATCTGACTATTCATTAAACATGTGAAAGCAGTGAAAATTATGTTCAACTAAGGTTTAGTGTTTAGAGTTACGACTTCAGAACATAAAATTTGTGGTTTGAAGTCAGCTCTGACATTAGATAGCACAATTAGATTGTAATATATAATGCATAGGCAGTCGTTGTAATTACTGAAACAACGGCAGCAACGATAGTGACAGGTAAATTAATGTGTAGTATTTTTGTCATTGAATTTAATATATGTATTTACACATAATAATTACTTCATTGCTTATTTTCATTTTAGATATATCCTGCAATGCATTTTCATTATATTGTGAAAATGGGTGGTCAAAGCCACTTTTGAAATGCCCATTGAAAATTTATTAATTTTCAAATTATAACCCAAACCTCATGTTTGTTTTTAAAACTTTTGCTTTTCTACCTTATCTTAAAAGAATGCAAACAACTCGCTATTTCCACTGACCTTACAGAAATAGGGTGAGTTAAAAAAAGTTTTTTTTTTTTACTAACATCTTCACTCTGAACAAGGCTGCAAGCAACCACTAATTAGAGTTGGAAGTTACTGGAAAAGAAAAGATGAAGATTGTACAGCAAGATAACGATTGACTTAAAAGATTGCAAATAGTATGAATCAGGAAAGCAAGATGAAAGAAGCGAATACCTAAGAACTGATGTTCGAGGAAAAAAACTAGACAAATAAGAGTTTTTGGAGCACTTAGGGACAGCCACAGAAAAAGGATGAGACTCAATTGAATGACGAGTAACACGAGAATAAATTTTATTCGATGGCACAAGAGACGCAAGCTCTTTAGAGCAGTGCCTACTATAGTATTTTTAGAAAAGAGAAAGAGAAGCAAAATTACGATGATTTGATATTGGTTAAAGGTTGGCTGCAAGAGCAGGTCCAACTATGTTTACAATGCGTTTTTGTACCTTGTCTAAAAAAGAAAGATCTTCATTAGAACATCCGCCCCAGATATGCCAACAGTATTCCATGCAAGGCCGGATTTGAGATTTAAAGAGATAGAGAATAGAATCCGCAGTAAGAAAGTGTTGAGCTCAATAAAGAGATGCAACTTTAGCAGATGATAATTTGCAATGGACTTGATATATGGCTTCCAAGAAAGATCGGTTGCAGGGTAGATGACTCATCGAGTAATTACTCTTTATAAATAAAGGAAAGTCTAAATTATTGCAATAATGTTAGTTATTGTAATAATATAGTTTTATCTGAACTAAAGTTTATATTGAGTTTTATCTGAATTAAAGTTCACCAGCCACTGTGAGCCCCATGCTGTAGCAAAAGTGAGATCATTTTCAAGCTCAAATGTTCTCTCCAAGCAATCAGAGAGCGTTGGCTTCTTATCATGACAAGAATAAATAGTAGTATCATCAACGTACAACTCCACCTCAGATGTGAGAATATCTGGAGGATCGCTAATGTAAATTCAAAAGAGTATAGGGACAAAGATTGAACCTTGAGGAACCCCTAAGGTTACAGAATAAGAAGAAAAGTACTGTCCATCAAGGACAACTTTTATACTACGATTAGAAAGGAAGGATTTAATAGTCTTAAGGATGTTTCCAGATACACCGTAAGAAGAAAGTTTATTGAGAAGACCAGCATACCAAATTTTATCACACGCTTTAAAAATGTCAAGAGCAATGGCCTTAACCTCTCCACCTATATTTAATGCATGATGAAACCTATCGGCTATTACTGTTAGCAAATCAGTTGTAGAACGAGAAGGTAGAATTTTATTTTGATGATCAGAAAGTAAGGTATTTGCCTCAAGATGAGAGATTAAGTGTTTGTTAATTATAAGTTTAAAAACCTTGCTTATGATAGGAAGAAAACTAATGGTACGGTAGTTAGACATATCCGATCGCTCTCTAAAATTTTTTAAAAATAGGAATAACAGATGCTGCTTTCCAGCAGGTTAGAAAATAAGACTCTGATAAGCACTTGTTGAATAGTTTTTAAAGGATAGACGACAGCTCAGTAGAACACTTTTGCAAGACTATAACAGGTTAGTTGTCTTTGTCACAAGCTGTTGAAGCAAGAAAATCACTTTAGATAAAGAAGCTGGAGTGATACAAAAGTCAAGCTATGGATCAACCTGTTTGGCAGCTATATCAGATAGAACGCAACTAGTGGAATCAAGAGAGGATATTGATGAAAAGCAAACAATTCAGTTTTGTCTTTAGATGAGGTGACAAAGTCTGAACCATACAAGAGAGGTGAAATTACAGATTTGCCCTTGTTATTGATAATATTTAAAGTTTTCCAGAAGTCACGAGAGCCTAATTTTTCTTATTAAATACGAGATTTCATGACCTGAGAATAATGAGTTTTGGCGTTAGACTAAATCTTTTGAAAATGGTTTCTAACAGTAATAAGCAGACGTTTGTTTTCTGGAAAATTATATTGCTGATAGATATGAAAGTAACGATTTTGATAGGAACGATATCAAAGTTAGTTTCTTCTTTTGAGTTAGAAAAAATTAGATCTACCAAACACACTGGTAATCAAGATCTTCAAACAATGAACCAACTTTTTTTTTAATTTTACGAGATTTTTTTAACAATGTCTGACATATGTATTATTGCTAACAACATTGGCAGTTGAAGTTTGCGTTTCCACATTTTTATTAATGCCTAAAAGGTCTTTACTTTTCTAAGGAAAATTTGTTTTTTACTATTCTGTTAGGAGCAGAGGTAAAATCTAATTTCATATTCTAAAATAGTTTTTTGAAGCTGCTGTCAGTTGAATCACTTTAATGTTGAGCTTTAATTTTCTGGCTTTTGTTTTTAAAATTGTTTCTGGGAGCATTAATTTTGTATTATTTCTGTTTAAAGGAGAAATCCTGCTTTTCAAATAACCAGCAGCATTATTTTTTCCTCCTAAAAAATAGCACAACTTTTTTAACAACATGGCAAACTTTTTTTTGGAAAAATTGCTCCATATTTTCCTGGACTCATTTTCCACTCTTTTGCAACTTACCGCCATTTTAATTTTATTGGTTGAAAATTGCCATATCAAGCGGTTGGATAATATGGGTTGAGTTTGATGGATAGAATATGAATCTCACTTATTGGTTTTGTACAGTGGTTCTCTAGATAGATGCGATGCCAAATTTTAATTTAAAATATTTAAAATATGGGCAGCTGCTAAGACCCAATCCTCAAAGCAAAATAAAATAAACCATCGAGACTTTGCTCTATTATATCGTGTTGTATTCAAAATTCGTTAAAACAAATAACATTTTCTTGATAATTCAAACTGTTTTATACGCAAAAAGTCAATTATCAAAAAATACGTAAAGAATATTTTATTTTGCATTATATACTTGTCAACATGTGTATAAAGTTTTGTTTCTTCTAACCATGCTGTTTCCTGAGCGTGAAAAGGAGGCGGGGTAGAGGGTTAATCTTAATATAAGAATTAAAATTTAACAATAATTAGTTTAAATTAGTGTTAAGTAAAAAGTGTTTTAATTAACAGATAAGTGAACTTCAGATAATATAACTTTGCCAATTTATTCTACCTATTTTCATTTAAAGCAAATTAACTGAATAAAAAATACGAACTATACAAAAGTGTAATAAATCATTAAGCAGTTCAAGGTTTTTTTCATACTTTTTACGCAATAGCATTGGAAATTCGTTTGTTAAAAGCCATTCAATAACACATTAGCTAAAACGTAAATTAATATTTTCAGTCTTTGTATTCATTTGTACGCAAAAAAAATTGTATAGAAAGTAAATTTTCTGTTGATCCATATGAAATGTAGTTAGATGCGGTAGGAGTCATATTTTGATTGCAACTAGTGGTCCACCAATTACTGCAACTTTTGAATGTAGTGAAATTCGCGTTAAATAAATCTGGTTCCAATGCTATATATATATATATATATATATATATATATATATATATATATATATATATATATATATATATATTTATATATATATACTATTAAAAAATTAAAAATAAGAAAAAAACTTACAATCTCTTGGATCATACTTTTCATAGCTAAACATGTAGTTGGTATCACTTGAATCAACAAGGACATTATAGTACATTGTAGTAAACGCTAAATCTTTTCTGAGAAAATAATCGACCCTCATGTCTGTAAAAAAAGTGCTTGTAATTTGATTAATTTTTTTTAAACCAATCCATTGTTGATTTACCAGACCAAAGCCATTTTCATAATCTTCAAAACTTCTATTCCAAAAACTTAATTCCCAATCGGCAAAACGAGTCATCATTGGAATCCACACTCCTATTAAAATATTTTTCAAATGCGTAGATTTCTATTTGCAACATAAAGTATACAGCATTATGAATATATAATGAATGAAATTATATTATATATAAGATACAACAAATTATATTAATAATAAGTAAAATAAATTTATAGAGGTGGACGAAAAACATTCAGAATACAATCAACTGTAAAAAGTATAGACGATTCACGTATGTAATAAATAACAAGCGAACACTAACTATTGAGACTAAATTTGAAAGTTTATTACATTTAAACAAGCGTTTTTTTTTAACGCAGCTTTTTTGGCTGCTTTTTCTTTTTGAGCAATAAGTCTGATATTTTTGTTTCAAATCTTGTGCAAATCGCATCCAAATTAATCGAGAAAATCAATCATCCATAAAAATTGTAGATTATTTTATAGATGGAAATAATCCAAAATCCCCGGTGCATCGACGTATTTGAATGTGAGAAAGTGGTTTTCCTATCTAGTTATCGTTTAGGATAAGGTCAAAAAGCCAAAATTATGTCAAAAACAAAATTTAACATCTAAAAAAAGAGCATTGTTATATATACATATATATATATATATATATATATATATATATATATATATATATATATATATATATATATATATATATATATATATATATATATATATATATATATATATATAAATATATATATATATATATATATATATATATATATATATATATATATATATATATATATATATATATATATATATATATATATATATATATATATATATATGTATATATATATATATATATGATATATATATATATATATATATATATATATATATATATATATATATATATATATATTCATAGCAGAAATGTAATATTGTGTCAAATTACACTATTTTTCTAAGTTGCTACGAAAACTAATTCGGAACCATGTCACTTTTTGTTGACAAATTTAAGTTTCGAGGTCGCATAACTAAAAAACAATTATTATTATTTCAAAAAGAAACTGTTGTTACTATTTCATGAACTTCGTTAAACGAATAACACCAATTCGTTAAATTAATAGTACTATTCATTTATTGAAAGCATTAGAGAATTTTATTAAAAAAGCGCTGCTGTGGAACCAATGCACAGGGTGTTATTTTAACAAGGATGAAAAAAAAACATTTGAACTTATCATAAAGTTTTTTGTTTGTTTTTTATTTTGATAGCAGATAGACCATACTAGGTGGAAAATCGTCTAGTGAATAGCTAGTTATAATCGTTACGATAAAAACAGCAATTTGGTCACGAGGCTCGCTAGCTTTTTTAAGTTAGTGAAAAGCCATTGATATTTGTAAAGATAAAGACAGCGATTCGGCTATGAGGACAGCTAGCTTAATAAGATCAAGACTCAATGGATATTGTAACTAGCGTCATTTGGTAATAAAATCTTGATATGTAGCTAAAAAACTATATAAATGTAAAAATTTTTGATATGTAGCTATTAACCAGCTATAGATTTGTAGATATCATGTTGCTAGCTACGAAGCTACGATATGTAGGTAGCGATATATTGTTACAAAATCGCAATGTTTAAAGTTCAGTTATCCTCATTTTTATAACAAACTAAACACTTAAAATCTAATTTTTAAAAACGTTAAAAATATTATAAAAGGTAAAAATAAAATAGGAAAAAAAAGTTCTTTTAAAAATTGCTATCAAGCGAGCTAGTCGCTTGCTTGTCGCTAGCTCATTTCCCACCGGGTACTGTTTAAAACCCAAACTTGATTTTTTTTTTCAATAAATGCAGCGTTTATACTGACTAGTAGAATTCTTTCAAAAAGTGAGTAGTTTTATTTTAAAACATAAAGCTACTTTACTGGTTTTATGTAATTTTTACCATATTCGGTAGATGAGCTAGCGACATACCATGTTTGGTAGATAACGAGCTAGAAAATAACCATCTTTATAGAAATTTTTAAACAATTTTTCTCACACTATTGTTTCATTTGGTCTTTTACGTTTTACGTTCAACTTTTAGTATTGGCTTTAATATATTTATGAAAATAATTGATCTTGTAACATCGCAAAGTTATTACAACTTATTGCTACCTTATATTATTTACTTTCTCAAAGAACAGTTATTTCATGTTGATTTAACATAAATTTTGAGTTAGGTAGCGTATTCAAACCCTGTTTGAAAGCACTTCTGGGTAATACTTCAGATAATACGCTAAAGTATGTGGGCAGTGTTTATGATGGAACATCGGGAAAGGATTTTTTTTCACGTATATTCTAAAGGGTAGTTTTATAAAATAGTGCTCTAAAATAAACTCGTAATTGTTGTTTTCAAATTTTAGTTTGACTTTACAAGTTGTTTGTAGGCAATTAATTGTCCCGGAATCTTTTACTACCTTCCAGACTAGCTAGAGCTCTAAAAACTTCTAACATTTGTGTAAATTTATAAAACGTACATATTAAAATTATTTTCAGAGTCACCAAGAGAACTCCAATTTTTTGAATCTTTTGTTTTTTTTATTTTACTTTATCTTGACAGTATTTGTGTAATGAACATGCATGTGAAATGAACATGCATGTGAAATTTATTTCCTGGGCAAGGGGCGTTTAACGTTATTTTTTTCTAATATTTTGTTTTTCTTTAAAGTTGAGGTTTATAACTTTTTAGAAAAAAAGATTTTTTGTAAAAAATCTTAAAAAGGCATTTTAATGTCTTTTTAAAGCTTTTTTTCTAAAATTAATACTATAACAAATAAATCAAAAAAAAAAAATTTTAATTTGTTTTATCATTAATTTTTTTGTCAGGAGGAAATAAGTTAGTGGCCCAAATAAAAGTTTATCGTAAAAGAGCTGGGCGTATTTGTAGCTATGCTGCTGCTTATCGCTTCTCTTATTAGGCGTGAGTGTTGTCAGGGCCATCCCAAAGAGGTCTCTCATGGGAGGAGGTGTGTCGTTTGTGTTTTTTGCCAACTAGAGACACACATAAAAAAAGGGTCCCCAATTTTCGACATTTGGCAACTATATTTCAAAACTTGCTAACTGAAATGCTTGGATGAGGAGATCCCCTAGGGTGACCCATTCTCGCAAAATTTTCAAATTACCACACTAACTTTTAAATTGAGGCTTAGACTAAGAAAAAAAATTATTTACTAAATATTATTAAAAAATATAAAAGTTTAATGGTCCCCTCACTTAGAAAAAGTTGAGCAATTCCTTTTTTACCGTGTTATGTGAGTTATGTGAGTATTTTTGTTCAAATGTTAACAGATATATTCTGCAACAACTTCAACTTTTCACACAGTATAGTTCAATATCTTATTTATACTGTATAAAAATTTGAGTTTAAAAAAATTAATTTAAGGGTCCTCCCGAATCAAATAGTTAAGTGGTTTTGTAATTTGGCATCGTCAGAAAGTAGTTATTAAGGTGGTTATCAGGTAAAAAAATAGCGATTTTTGTGAAAAAATGTGTTTTTTAGTTTATCAGCCAACTTTGTTTAAAATTTAATTGGCTTTTTAACCATATATAACATGATATGGGTTAATTAATAAAAAAATGTAAAAAAATTGTTTTAGTTGGTAAGAGTAAAAAAAATTTACTTAACAACCGCATAGCAACCAATAATTTTTTATAGATATATTACCCAAAGACCTAGATTTAAACAATTATTTCTTTTCATGGGTCTGTATAATTAACTAAACTTTTGAACCAGAGTTATTTTTAGCAAAGCCGTATGTTTTGATGTTATTTGTTAAGCAGAAAGCTTAATAGCTTAATAGCTTAATAAGGCTTTCAACCAGATAATCTGGAAAAAGTGTCCAAAAAATATTTTTGTTACTAAAAAGGTACTAGATCTTGGTGTTGCTTCAGCTGTAATAAATTACAATGATGGTTTGAGAGGTTTCACAAGAATTTTTGATTATTTGCAGCTCTTGCCTGGAAGTTTTATGATCCAAGGATCGTGGAAGAAGGACGTATCAAGAGTAAAGAACACGATTAAAAATTCAACTCCAAAGCAAAAAAGGGCTAGAAGGAAAAGGAGATGTATCAGGAAGGGTTATATTGATAAGGAGAAAGAAAAAGAGGGAGTAGACTCTTATATTACAGGAAATTTTTAATTAATAAATTGTTTTTAAACTTTGAAGCTTGATTTCTCAATTGTTTGTTTTTGCCTGACTGCAATAAGCGAATCATTCATATCTTTTTAACCAGATATGCAATTGAGTTCAAATTTTCAGGGTTGTTTCTTTATAGATAGAACTGCAATAGCTTACTAGAACTAATCTTAAGCTTGTTTCCATTTGAATATATTCATATTTTACCTTTTTTTTTTGTATCAATAATTTCCGTTAAAATTGAAAAAGCTGCCATTTTAAAAATAATAATTATTTTTAGTTTTTCTAGTAAGCTTTTGTTTAATACACTATAATCTATCAGTGTTGTAAGTTTTGGCTTATAATGTCATAAAGAGGCTGAGAAAATGTTGTTTTCTTTTTTCATTGATTTTTTTGCATTTTATGCTGATTCAGCAAAAAAAAAAAGGAAATTATTTTTTTTTTATCATTTTTAATTATATTAATAAGTATGTTTCTTTTAAACTAACTTTAGTATATGATTAAGTTGGCAATCAAAAAATAATTTTTTTACCTGATAACCACCTTAACCGTAAAGGCTTAAATTGGGTACATTTTGAAAATGTATTTATAAAATATTATATATAATAGAAACGCATGTGTCAAAGTAAAAAAGTTTGATTGTCTTATTTTAACTAATTAATTATTCTAAAACGCTGGTTGCGTCTAAAAAGGGTACCGTTTTGGTGAAGTTAAATTGTTTGTTTGTCCGAATATCAATCCCACAACCACTAGCAATTTAAAGAAATTTTTATGTTTCCGTGCAATGTTTGTTCGCATTTTGATTCCAGAAGGCTTTGAAAAAATCTATTTTTATTAGCGCAACGGTACCCTATTGGACGCTCAGTATAAGGAAAATTTGTTTTCCTGTAGTTTCTTTAGCAGC